ACTGCCAATATTTAGTATGGTCATAAATCCATCCACTGCCTTCGGCTTGATATTTGTGTATGGAAGCATCAATCTTTAAAAGAGCATTTTCAATTTGAGGCTTTAAATCTCTCTTCTCAATGGTTAAGGTAGTAAGGCTTCTAAAATCTGCAATACATTCTTTCTCATTAACTAATTTTCCGTTTTGATCTATTGTATATTTTATAAATTTGATTCTCCTTACTAAAGTCCATTTTATCGGTAGAGGACAAGACTGAAGAGTACTTTTAAGTTCAGTTTTAATCGATTCACCAACAAATTTAATCATTGTATATGGACATTTGTTACAAGAATTGATGTGTCTTTTAAAATGACCAACAACATTTCTTTTACAGAAATTACAAGTCTTATGAGTTTGTAATATATGAGATTTTAGAGCTATGTTATTATCACAGATTATATCACAAACTTTGCACAGTTTCACCTTCATTTTATGTATTACCTTGTAGTGGCGAATCAGGTTGCTTTTTTTGGAGAGCGATGCAAAACAATGTTGACATGTGGTCTTCATTTTTATATATGAAATTAAAAAATAGTTTGGCATCTTCTATATAGTAGAAATTACATTTTGACAATTTCAATTAATGAGAAATAATAATTTGAATTAGAATTTTATATTTTAATATTCAAAACAATTTCATACAATAAGATTTGGCAATTGTAATTTTCTAAATCAAAACTAAATCCAAAATCTTAAATAAAAAATACTTTTTAGCAATTCAGATTGCTAAGTCTACATATATACAGAGTGAGTGTTACCTAGTTTAAAGGGGACTTGACAAAATTATATAGTATAATTCAGCTAAGTTTTTAAATAATAACTTGTACACACTTTAGACTCAAAGTCCCCCGGTGCATAAAATTTGGCTATGTTTTTAAATAATAACTTGTGCACACTTTTGACTCAAAGTCCCCCCGTGAGTGAGTTTGGCTAAGTTTTTAAATAATAACTTGTGCACACTTTTGACTCAAAGTTCCCCCCGTGAGTAAATTTGGCTAAGTTTTAAAAAAATAACGTGTACAAACTTTTGACTCAAAGTTCCCCCGTGAGTGAATTTGGCTAAGTTTTAAAAAATAACTTGTATATATTTTTGACTCACTTAAAAATAGTAATAACAAAATAAGTTACTTTTTTGGATAGAGAAGCAGCACACAGTTGACATGTAACTAAAAAAACTAAGTTAGCATGTTCTATATGGTGGAAATTACATTTTAGACAATTTCAATTAATGGGAAATAATAATTTAAATCAAAATTTTAAATTTTAATATTCAAAACAATTTAATACAATAAGATTTGGCAATTGTAATTTTCTAAATCAAAACTAAATCCAAAATCTTAAATAAAAATACTTTTTAGCAATTCAGAATACTGAGTCTACATATATACAGAGTGAGTGTTAGTTATAGAGAAGACTATGTTACCTATGTTAAAAGGGACTTGACAAAATTATATAGTGAGTATAATTCGGCTAAGTTTTTTAATAATAACTTGTACACATTTTGACTCAAAGTTCCCCAGTGCATGAAGTTTGGCTAAGTTTTTAAATAATAACTTGTGCAAACTTTTGACTCAAAGTCCCCCTCATGAGTAAATTTGGCTAAGTTTTTTAAAATAGACTTATATACATTTTAAGTTCCTTAGTGACTGTTCAAAATACTCTAAGTGTTTAAAAATAGATTTATATACATTTTTATTAGTTCCTTAGTGACTCAATTCGGCTAAGTTTTTAAAAATGGACTCGGGAAATTAGCTACACTCCTAAGTTAAAAGAAATACAGAGTATAAGCATCAATTACGTCACCAATTGATCCCATGACCCGACACGCGACAACATATTACATTAGTCTAGCTTAGATGTCAAAGACTTACCATAACAAGAAGATCCAGGTGGAAGAGTTAGTGATGATTCCGTAGAATGCCCCCCTTATATACCACAAAATTGTCTAAATTAATTTAGAACTTAACAATGGAAATTGAACAAACTGAAATTGAACAATTGAATAATTGAGGTCAATCAATCAAACATATTTGGCAATTGTCTAAACCTGCCCCAGACAGACTGGCGCCAGACAGGCAGAGAATGTTGACAATTGGTTTTGATTAGGGTCATTAGGTTACACTCACAGTCATTCATTTGAGTCAGGCATAGTTTACGCATAGCCATAAGCATGCCCGAGTTCACGCACAAACCTCACATGATTTTGAAAATATACATGGGAATGGATGTGGATTTGAAATTTTAATAGAGTTTGAACATTTATATAGGCTTGTATTGGACGAGATCCAGGTCTTTTAAAAAAGTGGCCAAAAAATGAGCCATATTCCAGACGTAATTTTTAGTATTAACAAAAGTAGAAAATTTATATAGGGGTGTATAGGTCGAGAGCTGGGTCTTTGAAAAAAGTGGCCAAAAAAAGCTCTTCCATTTTTTTCTCATTTTTCCCCTATAAAAAGTGCCCTAAAAGTGCCTCTAAAACGCCGAAAGTGGGGTCATATTGTCCTATTATATCTACTGCAGTAATTAGCAATTACAAGGATAGAACGGGGAAAACAGGCTAAGATTTCGAAATGTTGCCTGAAATCGATGGTTATCTTTCACTTCGATGCCTATCGTCGCCGTTACGTGATTTCCCGGCAACCTGCCTGAGAGGTAAACACCAAGAAGTGTGCCACAATATCATCCGAATAATGCGTTTGTAACTTCGTTTCTTGTTTGTTACTTACAGCAAGGCTTCCCTACCTAAAGTCACGAAAATGTCTAGTTTATGCACTAAAACCCCCTTACATTCTTTTTGAAACATTCTATCAGGGACAGCAAACAGATTATTCACTTATGTAAAAAATTCAAAAAAGATAAAATTGTCACAGAACGGTTTTGTTTCCATAAAGATTAAGATTTACCAGAACATGAGCGTGAAAGGTCCTGGTGAATTGCAAGTAGGGATTTACAGACGGGGTTGCCCGATAGAATTTTAATACAAATAATCGAGTTACGGAATTCGAACAAGGCCAATCTGTTAGCATAAATCAGTGTGTTTCTCTGGGGGTTAGAACCAATCAAACTGGCTGCAGAAACCCTGGTATGAATATGTATGGCAGATGATTTGGTTTACAAGAAAAATTAAACATCGAACATGTTGATGTAGTCCTTTATGATCCAAACGACCCATGGGAAATATCGAATTTTTATTGATTTCTTTCTTCTCTGCGTTTCAACGTAAATAATCGCCCATCGAACGGACGATAATATATTAAAAGTTAAACTGAGAAATTTCGTCCGTTCACACACTTCGGACACAATAAGGTCACACAACGAAAACACGACACATACGAGCTAGACCACATTCTAAAATCTAGTTTAGCGAGTTCCCATAAGTGGTGTTAAAACTTAGAAAGTCTGTTAAGAAATTTTAAAATAGAATTAATAAGCGTTAACTTACGTTACAAATTTGACAGTCTTCATAATATAACAGAGTAGTTCGTTTAACAATATTAACAATATCGACAACCTACATTTTTGTCAACAAAAATCAATTTGATGGGATTTTTTGTCCTACGACGCTAGGCACGAGTCAGAGATAGTGTTCCACATTACTTCAGGCTAGACTAGACTAGGATAAAATCTATTGATGATTTGAACCCGGGACCTCAGGGACCGAAGTCCCGCGCTCTAACCACTAGAGCAGCTCGCTCCCCAAATTTGGCAGGATTAAAGCCCTAAGAATCCTTATCATGGACCTCTTGAAATTAATTTTATAATACAGCCCATGGGGAAGCTGTTCCACTTATTTAAACGGTTTATAATTTTAAAACAAAATTTGAAGTACACATAAACATATAAATCAATTTAGGCTATGGACGATAGGAAAGGACACGGATACACACTTGATATTGCCAGAAACATATTCTTTTGGGGTTTGCTATAAAATTTAATAATACACTGTATTTGCACGGTATTTTGCGTCAACTTATGCTTTCAAGAGTTGTTATTCTATCTCTTTTTATCTATTCTTCATTCCATTGTTCATTTATACATTCTACTACTATTACATTTCATATTTATATTGTTATTTATCATATTTTGTTACATTTATTTCCTATTTATACTGTCATTGCTTGTTATATTTTTATATCTTATATCTTGTTATATTATATCTTTTTGTTGTTATATCATTCTTCTATTTATTGAATATTACTTTATGTTGGCTGTAAATAGCTTTTTACAATGTCTCTTTTTAACTTAAGTCATATTACGTTTTGTAATATTTATGTATTGGTTTGACCGTTATGAATAAACAAATAAATAAAAAAAAACTATTTCCAAGAACCTTACTGACGCATAGTTGCGTTCAGCTGCCCAATTACTCTATGCACTTTTCCATCCGCATTTCATGTACAATTGACAATCGTACAACTGCATTCGTGTTGAGCCATACAATACTGTAATGAACAACTATCACGAATGTTTCCGGGATATGATAGCATAATATCAGTTATTATTTGCTTATCAACCAGGAAGCACTACCGTGTTTGTTATGTCAGTCTTCGTTGCATTGTAAGTATTCAGTTAGAACTAGAACACTATTTGTTTACAAATAAAAAACAAAACTTGTATAAAACATTCAAGACATTTTGGGGTTGTTCAGAATTAAAAGTCGTGTTTTGGTTGAGTAACGTATACAGTGCATTTTTAGGTAAATTTGAGATATTGATAGATTGATAGAGTCTCAATTCGGCAAATATTACGTTCATACTATTATAGTTAAGCTCCCTACGCAACAACAACATAAATGGGCCCGATAAGTGTAAAATGAAACAACCCCAAAAAGCCTTGAAATACAGTATCATAAACTTTATTCACTCAGCCGTTTCTAAAGCGTCAAAGTTAACCTTTTAGGGTCACAAGTATAACAAGTATACAACACAATACAACAAGTATGTGCAGTGGTAACACTCACCATTATGTAGACGGATGTAGGTGGCGGCCAAGCGCAGGATACTGGTCTTGTCCAGTTTCTTTGGCGAGAAGCTGATGATGGGCACCAGAGTTGACAACTCGTTGATGAAGAAGTTGAGCTTGTCTCGCCGCATCTTCTCCGCCATGTTCCGCTGGTGGCGGTTGTTGCTGCAACAAGACAAGGACAATCAGAACTTTGATCCATAAGAACGTGTAAACAGTATACAAGATCAAACTATTGGCAGAATCTGCCGAGAATATAAGGCATATAGGGTCCAAACTAGAAGGTTTAGTAAACATTTCCAAGTTGCAATCACAAATTCATTCTGCAGTATTATGTACGCGAGATTGTATTACTCAAACCGTTGCGTCGAATGTCTAAATTCAAGGTTCAAGATCCTATAATTCCTTGACACGTTTACTGAAAGAACGTTGATATTCTAAGCTGGTAAAAACCGTAGTATTCATTACTTTTGAAACAAAAAACGACACCTCATTGATTCAACAATTCCATTGGTATCGAACGGTTGCTTTATCGATTCCATTTAATTTGGAACCCCTCTTCACACTAATGTCAAAAACACATGAGGGCTAAAACATTTTTATCAAAGAATTGATTTCTCGGTCAAAGGGGAAAGTCTTAGTCTTCGGAGATGGCCGCAACGTTGAACTAGGCGAAAACATTGACCGACTTTTTGTTGTGAAATTATTGTAGTTTGCCCAGAAGATGATGATTAAAGCAATGCAATCAAAAGCTCTGCAATCAAAAGTATTTTCACTGGTTCAAGGAACCAGCTGATCTCCGGAAGACCAATAATTCACACTGACCAAACCACAAAATGATTAGTACAATGATTAAGACTGCGTTCAAATTTTCAGATGTTTCTGTTTCACGCATTTTGAAGCTTGAACTCAAGATCATCCCCACTATTACTTTGTGGTTTAACAAGCACAAAGTTGGACCAATTCAAGAAACAGTACGAAGTGTGCAGAGCTGCAATTGACCCGTCGGATGCTGCCAACTGACTTTGTGCCACATACTGCAGCAGCTATCTGCTATTCTGGGCGTCAAGTTCAAGACCAGCTGCAGCCGCCAGCGATGACTGTCTTGTTTACCACTTGACGCCAAACTGGTAACCTAGTCCATTAGTGTCTAGATACAGTCTGCACAACATCAAACGTTGGCTATTAGACTATTAGAATCTTCAGTAGGAATGGATTTGAAGTCAAGTTAAATGATAATAGCCGATGTATATACTGGTGATACGGAAATACTTTTAGAATCCTTTAATTTGGTCACAAGACAAAAACAAATGCATAGGAAACCATTATTTTTGTGGTAGAATCAAAGTTTTTCCAAACCAACCAATATCTGGTGTTTTTAGGAGGACGTTTTTTTCACTTTAAGTTCATCCGTTCACATGAATCTTTGACGTGTGTTACTAAGCAAGTGGTGAGCCAGTACAAACTAAACTGATAAATAAAGGTGAAACTCTGGAGAACGAACCCTCGACATCGATCCTTTGGTCACACAGTCCGTCGTACTACCGACTCACAAATTTCTACCAGATTTTATTAAAATCGGCTAATTTTTATCAAATCTGGGGACATACAAAATGAAACTTTCTTCGTAGCCCTAATTAACACAGAATTATAAAAATCAATGATTAAATAATAAAAAGGTGTGTTTTAGTGTGTTAAATTTTGATTATACAGTATTTTGTTTTCAAAATACGATGCATAATTTTGAACGTAGTGTTATTTAGTCAGAACCAAGTCTACGAGAATGGCGGTAACCAACTCTTCCCCATTGTGTATTTGCTTACACAAAAGCACAATGTTGGCTCTGTCTTCGCTGTCCAATAAATCTAATATTCAGCTCACAAATAATTACCACACAAATGACCAGTATTGCCAAATTTAAACTAACTAAGTGCTATAACTAGAGATTGGTTCTGACTTTTTAGTAAGTAATCAGTGTGTCCTACATTGTTTGTTGCGGGCGATGCAAACAGCATAAAGAATACACAAGTTCACGGTCAACAGGGTGAGTTTATCTTGTGGAGATAAATCATAATGCGCGCGTGCAAATGACACTGCACTTTCAACTTTGACCGCGGCGTTGCATCTAGTCGGAATGTGCTTTGGGAGTTGCTGCAACAGAGTTCATCTGCACTCTGCAGTGTTACTAGGGAGACGACAGACAATTTGTGTTACAAATTAATCCAGTGGATTGCGTGACTCCTTCACAGCTGTTAACACTTAAGTGGCACTTGGACAATAAAAGATTTAATTTTAATATGAAGTTAGACATCCCATTCATTGTACTTTGTAGCTGGGGTTTCATCCGTATAGAGATAACTGACACAATTGTCGTCACTGTCTTGTTTTTCGACACTTTCAATTATTGCTGCGACACAAAAGAGTCAATATAATTTTTTTCTAAGTTTTATTGTTGTAAAGTCTGGGTGATTGACAGAAATCGGTAATTTACAAGAGTTCAACCAATCAGTGGTTGAATCAACTACGTTCATGGTGTATGCAGACTTTAAAAACACTGGTGTTCGACACAGAAAAAAGCATGAATGAGAGATGAGTGTGGTACAGGTAAGATAACTTAAATAGATTTCCAACAAACTGTGGTCAGGTGTTACTTTAGTCAAGGCCATTTATGACAAAGTTACGAACCACACAATTCCGAACAATAAATGCTACATTTCTTGGGATCGAACCCACTTCCATATTAGACGAGCATCATACCTCTCAGATACCCAGTGCTAGGCAGTGTGCAACCCAACCGTAAAGCCTAAGAACATTCAGCTTTGACACATTTAATTTTGTAATGCATAACAGCCTCCAATCAGAAATTACTTGGGAATTATCTCCAGACGCCAACAGATACGTAACGATGTACATGTTAATCAACAGATCATCCGAGGACAAGAAAACCCGAGTCTTGTAACGCTGAATAAACTATTTACACTTCAGCTGATTCCAACTTAATAAGTTATTAATTTATCCTCGCACCAGAAGATTCAAATCCAATCACCGCGGTAGATTACCTTGTACCGCTTATATTCCAAGTTGGCTGCTAGTTGCTAGCTGCAAGCTGCGACCGACTGCTTATTAAACTATTAGCGACTAGTATTAATTAGGGAGATTTGCTTACATTTACAAGAGTGTTGTAATACATTAATCCACCGATCCTGTCTACTTGTACAAAATGCTACACAAGTTGATTGGGGTGGTGCCTTGAACGATACAGTGCAGATAGAATATCAAAGGCCTAAGAGCCTCTTCCCGACCATCGATGTATGTAGAGTTATTATACATCGATGTTCCCGACACGAGTTACAGTTTTACTTAGCGAGAATCAAAAGAACCCAATACACAAACAATATTTTTTACACAGTATTCTTTCAGCTCACCAATTTACACATTTTAGCGAATTTCCCATATAGGGAATAAGCTATTACCGTAGTACTCATGGTAAGACCTGGACGCGGGACCGATTTTTTTTTTCGTTTTGAGGTCCCTAGAGGCCAAAAACACCATCCGTTCAAATTCATATATATATATATATATATTTATATATTTATATATATATATATATATATATTATTTTCTTGCATTTTTAGGGCTACTAATATAATAAAATTAAAACATATATAACAAAGTACCCTTTTAGTAATTATTTTATTTTTCATGACGACATGTTTCGGAACTAAGTCCATTGTCAAGTCATTTTTACCATAACCTCATTCTTTAAACTAACAAAATTAAAAATATAATCATATGTAAAAATAATAAAATATGTTAACTAAATCTTAATACATTTTGGTATTAATTTTTTTCATTATACTATATGAATGTTTTTCTTTCTTTCCTTAGTTTTTCAATTTTATCGTAGATAGGTTGGTTTAATTTTGGAATCATTGTGTTGAGTATGTTGTTGGGGTCCTTTTTGTTGTGTATATAAATATTTAGCTCTTCTTTCACATTAAGTTTCTCACGTTCTTTTTCAAATTCTAAAATAGTTAGATTGTCTTTCATGTTTTTATAACTGTGGTCTGTGTTCATTATATGGTCGGCGAAGTTCGACTTCATTGATGTCTGATTTTTTGATTTCAATGCTTGTAGATGTTCCTTGAATCTTGTTTTAAAAGTTCGAGATGTTTGACCTATATAATACTTGCTACAGTCACTACAGTTTATCTTATAGATTCCTGATTTGTTGTACTTTTCGTCTTCATTATCTTCTGTGTGTTTGATTTTTTTATTGATTAATTGGAAAATATTGTTCTTAGTTCTGTAACTTACCCTTATATCCGAATTTTTAAACGTATTTCTTACTGCTTTAGTCATATATTTGTTATAAGGTATACATATATATTTCTTTTTCTCTTCATTTTCCGTTGTTTTATTTTGCTTTTGTAATTTGTTTTTCAATTTATTCTTTATCATATTGTCTATCATTTTTGCCCTGTAGCCATTTTTCTCTGCTAAGTATTTAATGGTATTTTTCTCTTTTTTGAAATTTTCTTTATTCAAGGGAATATTAATAAGTCTGTGGATAAGTGAATGGAAAGTAGCGATTTTATGACTCCAAGGATGATTAGAATAGTATGGAATAATGATGTCTGTGGTCGTAGGTTTTCTAAATATGTTAAATGTATGTCTGTTGTTATTTTTTGAGATTGTAATATCTAGAAAATTTATTTGTTCTTTTTGAACCTCTCCTGTAAATTGTATTTTTGGAGATAGGTTATTAATATATTTTAGTAGATTATTAGCTTCATTTTCATTTCCTTTGAATAAACAAATTATATCGTCTACATATCTGTACCAGTATTGGATTTTATCTTTAAATGGGTTACAATCATTCAATGGGTTCCCCTCTATCTGGAATAATGGCAGATATATTCATGAAAGAAATGGAAACTACCAAAATAATGAATGATTGTAACCCATTTAAAGATAAAATCCAATACTGGTACAGATATGTAGACGATATAATTTGTTTATTCAAAGGAAATGAAAATGAAGCTAATAATCTACTAAAATATATTAATAACCTATCTCCAAAAATACAATTTACAGGAGAGGTTCAAAAAGAACAAATAAATTTTCTAGATATTACAATCTCAAAAAATAACAACAGACATACA